CACTGAGTGAGCAGAACCTGGTGGACTGCTCTCAGCCTCAAGGCAATCATGGCTGCGATGGTGGCCTGATGGACTACGCCTTTCAGTATATTAAGGAGAACGGAGGCCTGGACTCTGAAAACTCCTATCCATATGTGGCAAGGGTAAATGAAGCCTCTTATCTTCTTGTCATTTCAGCTCTGAATTTGGAAAGTTGAACATTTTGAGAGATAAGACACCTTTTTCAGAATTCACATTTTATCTCTGGTCAACTCACTTACTAAAAGAAAAAAAATAAAAATTAAAAAAATTCACATTTTAGATGGTACAATCTATATCTGCAAACTGTCCGTACAGATCAGCTTTCTGATTAGATGGTTTATATTGAGCTGTTCTTCTGTGTAACATGGAGAATAAGCAAACCATTCTAAATATAGCAGAAATTTCTCCATTGTGAAAAATTTCTTATGGACAGGTCGACCTAGGCAGTCTCATTGAAGAAACATCAGCTAATTTTTCAGTTTCAACTCGACTAATAAGAGTTCACTTCCTGAGATGATTTATAAGAGTGTTGACTTGGAAATCATAAGGTGCAAATTGCTAAGTGTTTTGGTTCTAGAACTCATGTTCTCTAGGAGATAGATGTTAATGATCAAGTCTTTTCCCCTTACATTTTATTTAATTTTAAAAGGATGAAGTCTGTAAATACAAGGCTGAGAATTCTGTTGCTAACGACACTGGTTTCGTGGATGTCCCTGTTCGGGAGAAGGCTCTGATGAAGGCAGTGGCTATTGTGGGGCCCATTTCTGTTGCTGTTGATGCAGGCCACGTGTCCTTCCAGTTCTATAAATCAGGTAGGCGTTTGTCATTTTATTACAGACATTTAGGCAGAATTGGAAAACACCACTATGATTGACTCCTTGGTAGAGACTCCTGCTTTCTAGGACTATAGAATTTTGAGTTTGTGTGTTGAACAGAGTGATGTTTCCATTTGACATAATGAAGCACTTTCTTATGATTACAAATTCTTAATAAATACTTTTAGATGGCTGTGTAATTCATCCTACAGGTAGAACCTAATTTACCTAATAACTGTTGTCTAATTTTTGGCCTTTTTTCTAAAAGTTTTTTGTGGCTGGCATGGTGGCTCATGCCTATAATCCCAGCACTTTGGAAGGATCTGCTGAGGCCAGGCATTTGAGTGAGCTGTGATCAGGCCACTGCACTCTAGCGTGAATAACAAAGCAAGCCTGTGTCTCTTATGGTTTTTCACTTCTGTAATTAGGACTATAAAGACCTCTTCTCAAGTTTTTTTGTTTTAGTACTATTTTAGATTGACATCCTAGTAGTAGAAACAGATTATGCAAATTGATACTTGGGTTAGGGGATAAATGCCTAAATCACTTTAACATTGAAAACAATAGGTCTTATATTTTGGATTTTTTTTTTTTTTAAGTAGGAAATATCTTGAACTTTGTTGGTTTCTTTTTTTTTTTCCTTTGTGAGGTAGATATCTGAAGAAGTTTGTTGGTTTCTGTTGAATTAAAGGTGACATTTTGTTTTATCAGCTATTGTTTCAAGGCCTTATTTGGAATTTGTTTGACATTGCACTGAATTTGGAGATGTTGCTCTTACTATGGGTGATAGGGTGGGTTACTGTCACGTGCCACTTGGAGCTTCTCACCCCAGTGTTGATTTTACTCTCCTAGGCATTTATTATGAACCAGACTGTAGCAGCAAAGACCTGGATCACGGTGTCCTGGTGGTTGGCTATGGTTTTGAAGGAACAGATTCAAATAACAATAAATACTGGCTTGTCAAGAACAGGTATAAATTTTAAATGGTAAAGGGAATTCTTCTTTGGAATCAGTATTTGGGTACAAGTCCACAAGAGCTCAATTTTGAAATCCTACGTCTTTCTCCCACTTAGAGTGAACACGGAAGTATCATTGTCTGATTGTAAGATTCTGTACCAAGCTTGTGGTTATTAATATATATTTGTAACATTTTCTTACTAAACTCTGAAAATTTTCCTAATTCTGAAACACATCTGGCCTCTAGGGTTTCAGTGGACCTGTAGGGTTGAGAGCTGATTTCCTTTTTATGTCCCCAATTTTTCAACAAGCAGAACAGCTGCCTCTGCCAATTCTTTAAGTCTGAAAGATTGTCCCGGAGTCCAGTTGCCTGTGTGCATCCTTTCTGCTGTCATCTGATGCCCTGCCATTGAATTTTACTCTCCAGCTCTCAGAGGCTTTGAGGGTTGTATCAATTTTCACAACTAAAGTTTTTCAATTGAGATGTGGTGAGATAAGATAGCATGTGGAGATAGATTGCTACATTAGAATCCCAGTTCTGCCGCAGTTTCCTATCTTAAAAAAGTTTTAAACCACATGTATTGTCTGAAGGCATTTTTCAAAGAAGCCAATAGACTTCAAAAATCAAATGTGACCCATAGGCATCGATACACTTACAAATAGATATAATAGCACTTAAATGGTGCTTACTACATGTCAGGCACTATTCTAAGTATTAGCTATATTAATGAAACTAATTACTTCCTTGATTCTTTGTATAAAACAGGAAATTTGCTTCTCTTTCAGCTGGGGTCCAGAGTGGGGCTGGAACGGCTATGTAAAAATCGCCAAAGACAGAGACAACCACTGTGGAATCGCCACAGCAGCCAGCTATCCCACTGTGTGAGCCGATGGACGGTGATGAGCAAGCACTTAAGGATAGCGTGTCTGGGGAATTTTATCTTAAAACTGACCGAACCCTTATTGTGGAAGATAAAACACTTGAATCGTTGTGGATCCAAGTTGTGATTTGAATTCTGCGACATTTTTACAAGGGTAAAATGTTACCACTACTTTAATTACTGTTATAAACAGCTTTATGATATCAAGACTCATTGCTTAATTCTAAGACTTTTGAATTTTCACTTTTTAAAAAGATGTATAAAACTTTACCTTTTAAAATAAATTTTAATTCGTTATGTAAAGGTAGTCTTCTTTCTGTTTTTAATGCATTAACTTTTTGTGTAGTCAGGAAATATGTAACTGGGCTCTGAAGACATAATTCAGTGTGTCGGTGGCATGTTAGGAGAAAGATGCTAGGTGACCTTCTGGCTCTTGTCGTTTATAAATATACAGATTTTATGTCAGCTGCCCATTGGCTGTGTGTGACCCAACTCTGGAATCTAGCAAAATTTGACGAACAATTAGGAAGGACAAAGGTAAATTGTTTTAGTAAAGATAAAAAACAATTCACTTTTTAGAAAAGTGAGTAGATATATTCGGAGGTGGGTTTAGATAACAGAAAAGGAAATCCTCCTCCTTTGACTCAAGATGGTTAGGTTATGTGATGATAGTCACATCACTAATTACTGGACCATCTCCTGAATTACTGGTGAAGACCCTGTGACCACTTTGCAGGCTGAGGAAGGACCAGATACAATTAGATTACTAATGTTGTTTTATTTTTATTCTGTCTGGTCTCTGATGACATGCCACATGGCTCTTCTTAGAAAGCCTCAGTGTTAGCAAAAGTAAATTTTATGGTTGTAGTTAACAAATCTCAGGTGTTCAGTAATATAATAGCTGGAGAAACGTGTTCATGGTCTACAAGAGATTAGGTTAAATACTCCTCTGGTAGAACACGGATGAGAGATCACAAGTGAAAGGCCTGAAGTCACTAGGCCAAATTTAGACTTTGGTTACCTACCCCTGAAATAAAAATAAATCCGAAAGGGAGCAAAATAGGCTAAGCATATAGTTCCACAGGTAGTAAATATAAGTAAAATAATATATTTGCATATTTAAAAGACCAGCAGGAAATACACCAAACTTCTGGGTGGATTATGGGTGATTATTTTCTTTAACTTGTTTGGTAGAAAGTGTATTTTTATTAGCAGGAAAAAATGTAGTGAAAATACATCTATATGCTGCAGGCTAAGAAGCAGCTATGTGTGTTTAAAAATCTCATATTCTCTGAATCAAATAAGAATACAAGGGATAAGCCGGTGAAATACTTAATCAAGGGGTAATCCGCTGTGAAGGGAATGAGAGGGAAGGGGGCAAGTGGGACCTTACATCCCACGAAACCTTTGATAGCCTTGGTCCATGGCCATCTCTGGAAAAATCCAGTCGG